GGCTGGGACGGTTTAATAAAGGAGAGTCGTGGCCCCGTGCATTAGCGGAGCGACTCCTGCCGGCTCACACAGCCCTAATTAATTCTGCTGGACAGTAATAAAGTTAAGAGCGTAAGTGGCGGGGCCTGAAGGTGACCCAATGGAGACGAGAATACTGATGAGATGAAGGTGCGCATCAAACACTCGCTTCTCTGAAGGAAGAGCAGCAGTTTGAGGAGTTTATCAGTGAAACTCAACACGTCTGAATCTGAATAACAGCACAGACATCTGAGACCACAGAGACGCGCAAAAAACAGCTTTTAAACTGCATACTTCTGTGACACATGTATCTGGACTGTGTTTCTGAGTGTGTGTGACTTATTTCGACTATTACGCCTATGGAGAGTCCCCACAAGGATAGCTGACCAGACATGTGTGTGTGAGTGAGTGTGTGTGTGTGTGTGTGTGTGTGTGTGTGTGTGTCACACACACACACACTCACACACAGAGCGTTAGATGGGCGCTGGTCTGTCTGGGATCATCTGGGACAGACAGTCTTTCTGATGAACCCAGCCCTGTCATGGAGCAAACAAACACACATTAAACACGTGAAGAATCTCTTATAAATCGCTCACAGATCCCCATCTCTCCTGTCTGTGAAAGACTCCTCACTGATTCCCAGTCACACACGTCTCATTTTAGAAGAAAAAGCATGTGAAGCTAGAAAGTGCAAAAGCACTACACAAACATAAGCAAGTCTAGCAGACTGAACTGAGATGCATTCTGTGGATCAGTGTAAGTTCATTAGAGACACACATTTACATTCAGTAACTGTTCTCATAACATACACCATTCTGTTTCACAGCAGAGCGCAGATAAACGCTCCGTTACCGTGAGCTTCTGCGTTTCAGAGCGCGTTTTGTTGTGTCCTGTTGATTCTAATTCACGTCCCTTAAATACTATAGAGAATGAAACATAGACAAAGAAAGACACTAGCTATGTTTCCACCCAAAGATTTGAATATAACTTATGTGCAAAACTGAAATATCACATAAAACATTTGTGAATAAATCACAGTTTCCATCCAACAGGTCAAAGATAACAAAATCGTCATGTCCTAAAAACAAACTGGCACAATATATCACTAAGAAAAATAGGAGAAGTCACTGAATATAATAATGTTCATGTATGATAAATCACTTGCGCCTCGGAGCGAGCAGACGAAACACAGTAAATACTGTAAATGCTTTCAGAGGAGGATGCTGCTGTTTGGGAACGCAGTCGTGTAAAACAATACAGAAATACTTTGATGACAGACTTTGCTCAAGCTTTTCAGAACCACCAAAACAGCATAGAGATGCTGTGAACGATATCGGTCCGCTGCTAGTCAAGTTATCCCATCTCATAGCGCAAATCACATTACTTTTTCGATGCGCATGGAGGAATTTATTCGGTAAATGTGTTTCCATTGTAGCTTATGCACATGTTTTCTTATCGGATAAAAAGTTTATCCTACTCAATTGTGTGCATACGTTTTTTATGTGCATTTATAGAATTTATGCACATCTTGGCATTTCCATCCAGCATTTTTTATGCGATATTTCAAAATAAAAATAGGTGGATGGACACAGCTACTGATTCAGATCTAACTGCTGATCAATCAAGAGACGGAAAATGACTTTATTTCCGATCGGAGGCTGATCTTTCCTGCTCTGCAGACACAAACACACGCAGCTACTTCATCTGCATTTTTATTCTCATTTACAGACGAACCATGACAAGCTGAAACTCAATTTGACAAGACGGACCTTCAGAGCTTTTACAGTTTGACACTAACGAGCAGAAGAAATGCAGGCGCTCTTCAAAGCTGTCCGACCAAATCATCACACAACAGGAAAACGCCCGTAAAATCCGTGATTCATATATTCTGTCGTCACTTCTGTTCATAACGCTGCTGAGTCTGCCTGCAACAATTAACATGCTGTGAAGTGCGTCTGACTCTGCGATGTTCAGAGAGAAAACAAACAATCAGGCGCTGTCAATCAAACTCACAAGGCCCCGCCCTCTCCTCCCATCCGTCAAACTGAACCTGTCAATCAAACACACACGGTCCCGCCCTCTCCTCCCGTCCGTCAAACTGAACCCGTCAATCAAACTCACACGGCCAGGCCCTCTCCTCGCGTCCGTCAAACTGAACCTGTCAATCAAACTCACACGGCCCCGCCCTCTCCTCCCGTCCGTCAAACTGAACCCGTCAATCAAACTCACACGGCCAGGCCCTCTCCTCGCGTCCGTCAAACTGAACCTGTCAATCAAACTCAAATGGCCCCGCCCGCTCCTCCGGTCAGTCAAACTGAACCTGTCAATCAAACACACACGGCCATCTTTACAATCGCTGTCTAACGCAAAACATTCAGGACCTTTCATAAAACATCAGAGTAAAGAAACTCTCGTTACTGCACAAATTAACATCATTAACGAACCACCGCTGAGGCTGACACCAGGTTTGGCAGGTAAAGCTTAGAGTTAACCATTGAAAACAGAAACAAAAACTTAACTGTCCATCAGCTTCTCTGCACAATAACCAATATAACTTAAAGGAGGGGGACAGACCGCGTGATATTTATCAGATTCTGACAGCACAGCCATGCTTATAAGAGCTCAAATTGGCATCATGTTTTTTTCACTGCTGTCTTTCCTTTGACATTTGGAGATTTCCTCTCTTTAAGGGCTCAAAATATTAAGAATATTTTGATTTGAGATAAAGTACTCTGAAAATATACAGTAGTAATCAGCACAATATTGACATCACGAGCTCATTAGCATATGCCCACCCACATTCACCTGTCAGCACGCCTATCGAGGGATCAGGTGACGTATTAAAGAAGAAGCAGGACAGATACTAGTATTCCTGAGCATTAATTTAAATGTCTTTCATTTCTAAAGGTCAGAGACGGTGGAAAATTGTCATGAAAAACCACATTACGTCTTCAATTCAACTGTCAACTTTTTAAGTGAACCTTTCAAAGTAAAATCATTTAAAATATATCTTATGAACTGTTTAATTCATTTTCCAAATGATATTATCAGTAATAACTGCACTTATTAATCTCCATCCAATGAACTATATGTACAATGTTTCTTTCCAGGGAGTGAATTTGTGAAATCTCAACCGTGTGGGATTTATAATGAGAGTGAGTTCAGATGTAATTCATACACAGAGAACCTGCTCTCCTCATTCAGAGAACTGAACATGAAACATGAACACAGCAATTACTGAAGAGAAACTAATAAAACTGAGCTGAAAATAACAATAGACGTCATTAAGTGCAGAAGTGGCTCGATTAAAGAGATATAATACAGCCGAAAGCTGTGTGTGCGACAGTCACGAAGCAGAAGAGCCGCACTTCTGAACTTCCTGTTCTTCATTCTGCTCTGTTAGTATTGATTTCTCTGCAATATTTCTGCATTGGCTCTTTGGGTTAATTAATTAAAAGTATTGATTGATGGGTCGTAACAACTCAAAGGAAAACAAAGTGTTTTATGACAACTTGTACCATAAATAACATCAAATCAATAACGGGATGCTCATATTTAGTGATGCTAGCGGGAGGAGAGTCACATGAATGAAGACGGTGTAATGAACGTGTTTACACTGAATCACCAATAACCGTCCAAATGAGTTTAATTAGGATGTAGTGCATTATTAACAGGGAGCACTAATGGATCAGTGTGTGTGTGTGTGTGTGAGTGAGTGAGTGAGTGAGTGAGTGAGTGAGTGAGTGAGTGAGTGGGGGAGTGTGTGAGTGAGTGAGTGAGTGAGTGAGTGAGTGAGTGAGTGAGTGGGTGGGTCGATGAGTGAGTGAGTGAGTGAGTGAGTGAGTGAGTGAGCGAGGGGGTGAGCGCTTGGCCCGTATTATATTTCAATGTGGCATCCTAGAGAATAATACATATATCTATAAATCAGTTCAATTCTTGAAATAAACGTCAGTATAAGCAGCAGCACTTGTATTGTCTGTCTAATGGTCTGCAATGAGTTCCTCATACACTGATGTTTGCTGCCATCAGCTGGACAAAACCAGAAAGCTACAACACACCTTTCATTCATTTATTCAGCACTTCAGCACCTTAATGAGGTCAGGACATAGACTTATATTGATTTACTATAATGTCAACTGATTAAACCAAACCTTTTTGCATTTTTAGAACTTATATTAAAAAGTATTAATCCTTTGTTGCTGAATCAGAGTGTCTCCAAAGGGACGTCGTGCATATTTAATTCATTTCTGAGGGCAGAAGTGTTTCTATGATAGCTAATTATGTACACACTGACACAGAATACATGCACTGAAACTAAGCGATCGATCAGTGTGTAATTCTTGAGAAGAGAGCAGTGAGATCACCTTAACATCATGAGAAGATCTGAACGGGACCCCCCATCGGCTCTGGACAGTCTGGAAATATTCAAACAAACATCATCACACAAATAATTCAGCTGATAACAGTAATACATCCCGTTAGTATTGAAACATCACGGGCCCTGTGTGTGAGACATGGAGAGAGTGTGTGCGTGTGTATTTAAAAAAAATTGCTGGCAGTTCCAAGAACTAGATATAAAGCCAAAGTAGACAGAGCGTTTGCAGTGAGGGCTCCAGAATAATGGAATAGTTTGATCCTGAGAGTTGCTGGTTTACATCTTCACATTTTCCAATCAATGTCAATAAAGTCAATAAATTCACAATGAGCCGATATACTTAATCAAATTTATACATACAGAAGATTCAAATGAATACAATAGAACAAGTGATATTGTAAATACAATCTTTTAATGTTTTGTCTTCTGTATATCATAATGCATTATTAATTCATACATTTCTCAAATTATCTTATAAGTCTGAGTTTTTGTGAGAAACATTTTGTACGAAAAGGAGCGCTGACAACACGATATTAATTCGCGGATGTCATCAGAGATCATTTCCAGAGACATTACTTTATCTATATGTGTGCGTGTGCTGTTTCCTGCTTGTTTCATCCGGACACTTTTCACAGTGACGCAGAGCCGTAATGGCGGCCTCGCTCAGAATGCTGCGACAGGTCAGAATAACCTACATATACAACACGCATGATATTAAACTGCAGCGTTAAACACGTTTGGCACTGAATGTAGATGAGCGACACCTGACTGAGATGAAATTAACAGACTTGTGACGGATGCGCCAGCGGAACATTTCATAACAAACTACAGGACAGACGGGAATAGATTATTATAACGAAGCGTAATATTCATACGAGAGATTATCTAATTCTCAAACATGATTTATCCGTGTGTGTCATATTCATTGCTGACAACCGTGGATTAGTTAGACTGAAGGCAGATAATTAGAGTTTGTCTCTGAAAGTCATGTGAATGTGGTGTTGATGGTTTGTTTTGATTCTGTCTGTCATTCAGAGCGATTCACTAAACTCTTCATCAGCAGAACCAGTTTCTTCTGAAATACTTGCATGAAGTCCAACTGAGATTCAAAGTTATTATTTCAATCATTTATAAATTCACCGTTCTCTCATGACAATTAATCGATCAATCACATGCAGATCAAAAAAGAGAATACTTTTTTGGTTAGTTTTTATATTTACATATTTATAAAGAGCTAATAATTAAATTATACAATTTATAATTTAATTAATTATTAGGTCTTTTATCAGCTCACATACCCCAGAGACATATAGAAGCTGTAATCCTGTGTGTAACAGTGCATGTTTGTTTGTCTGATGTTTGTTTGTCTGATGTTTGTCTGATGTTTGTTTGTTGTTTGTTTGTCTGATGTTTGTTTGTCTGATTGATGTTTGTTTGTCTGATGTTTCTTTGTCTGATGTTTGTCTAATGTTTGTCTGATGTTTGTTTCTCTGATGTTTGTTTGTCTGATGTTTGTCTGATGTTTGTTTGTCTGATGTTTGTCTGATGTTTGTTTGACTGATGTTTGTTTGTCTGATGTTTGTCTAATGTTTGTCTGATGTTTGTTTCTCTGATGTTTGTTTGTCTGATGTTTGTCTAATGTTTGTCTGATGTTTGTTTCTCTGATGTTTGTTTGTCTGATGTTTGTTTCTCTGATGTTTGT